CTGTGAGCATAAAAAATAAAAAAAATAGAGAGAAAAACTACATACAGTGCTCACGCCGGATTTTAATTTTGCCCGGCGATTCTTAATGAATTGATTTGAAATGCCAAGACGACATGGTTAGTTGTCTGCATCAAAGCAGCAATGGCACTGGCACTCAGGAAATGACAAACTCACACATATATGTATATATTTATCAAGACAGTACCTGTGCAATACGCCAAATTTCCYGCCTGAGAATCCAAAGGTCTCCATTAAGCCACAATTAAATCACGTTAAGTGGGAGGACAAAAACATTTCCCTGCTAAACTTAACTGAGGCAAATGTCTCTAGGAATTAACAAGGCAATTCTGCTTCCTTAGCCACTAAAGTCCCGAGGAAAGCAACCGTCCTTGGGTTTTTTCAGAAGTGTGAGTGATGAAGCTGGGGAAACTGAGGCAGGGGTGCAAGATGCTTTTCCCCAGATAACTCTGGGACAGGAAACCTGCAAGCAAGGCTGCTTCCACCAAGCATCTCCTCTGCATTAATGCAAAGTGCACTACATGCACGGCCATCACAGCATCCTCACTCTGTACCTCAAGTTAATTTCCCAAATACTATTATTTACTTACATGCCTTTCAGGGCGATTATGGCTCTTCCAGATAAGTGGAGACATTTGAATTTTCCGTTTCCTTTTAATTCCTGTGTGTTTACACACGCTGGCCTGTTTACTGAGCTGTTTACTAAAGCGAACACTTGCTCCACTTTATCAACCTCCTCCACAGCTCCGCAGAGTTTTGCTCCATCACGGCAACAGCTCATTTCGGAGCAGGGGAACAAATTGCTTCCTTAGCTTTCTGTTAAAACAAATATTCTTAAATCCAGGAATGATCCACTTTGCAGCATCTTTAAACACAAACAGACCCTTCTCTTTGAAATTATTACCAAAATACAAGTACACTCAGACATTACAGGAGGTTTACTGCAGTCACACCCTTGACGAGTTGCTTTGAGGATTTTTCTTCAATAACCCCCAAATCCCCTTTTTTAAGTCACTATGCTGTGTAGCTGCCCCATTTAACATGTATTCTCTGATTTGGGTTGCTGCCATAYTATTTTTACGTTCACCTACATGAAGCTGCATTTTCTATTCACCTACAAGAGCCACATCTCCTAACTGCTCTCTGTTTTACTTGTCCTGTCTCCTCTGTGGATGCAATCAGAAAAGTTCAATCACATGCAACAGGCTCATCCGAATCAATTACCGATATTATAAACACGAGAGGATCCCAGATGAGTCTCGGAGTTAAACTACTTCCATCTCAGTGAATTAGCCACCCTCAGCTGAAGTGCAAACTTTAAGCACCTTTACAAATAGGGCCCTTCAACACTTACAGCTGCGCTGGTTCTGCTAACAGCTTCTAAGGTAGAACTTTATCAAGTGCCTTCTGTAAATTGAAGCCCACATATCCTGCTCAGGATACTTTCTGAGGAGATATCTATGGAAAAGGTAGCAAGTTCTGACCCAGCAAACCCCCAAACCACATAGAGACCTTTGCCAGGTCACCTTCTGTAGGACAGGTACATGTCCTGACAATCTAACCAGGAGGGCAGTGGTGTCTCCTGCCCAATGAGGACACCAGTTCAGACCTTCCCAGATTGTGCCGGATAGTTTAGATCACCTGATTATCTCCTGCCTTTCCCTTTGGAAGCACGAGGTGGGAGGCAACAACTGAAGGAGGACCCTCAACAAGCAGAATCCTGTAACACTACCTCCTTTTTTCCAACTACTTTACATTTCTGTGAGGACGTAGTGTTATATTTTCACTCATGGGGAAAAGTTGGAGCAGAAATAGGTTTAATGATWTGCCCGGCATCACAACACCCATGACTGAACTCCCAGCACAAGCAGGAATTCTGCATGCCTACAGTTTCCTTCCCAAAACAAAATCATCTTTGGCTTTTTTGCTATTTCAATAATTCATCATATTTTTACTCATAGTATATCCCACGTTGAGACCATGGCAACCATCCCTGCAAAATCATTCCCAGAAAAAGAATTCCTTGATGAGTGAGAGGCAGGAATACCTGGATATGCTGCCTCTTCCTGGCTGTCTTTAATCGCTCAGCCCATCCTTTTCTTTTCTTCCTTTCCAGTGCTCATAAATCTGATCTGTCATTGCAGAATTTCTAATAGTATTAGATAAAACTTCACCGATTTCTCTCTGGAATAAACTATTTAATATCCTTTATTTAAGACATGTGTGTGCAATCAATTCTGCAGTATTTACTTGTATTACACACACAGTATTCATCATCTTGACAATTTTTAAAAGTTTTAGAACACCATTTCACTTAACAGTTTAAAAAAAAAAAGAGAGAGAGAGATTTATTTGATGGTTAGCTTTGGAACAAGTTATCTGCATTAACTTCCATTGTTTTGGCATAAAGTAGTTCTGTATATTTTACTAACAACAGTGGAGACATGATAAAAGATGTAGGCAGGGTGCCACAAACTGCTCTAGCTGGAACCCACAGCGTTCATTTGAAAACATTAATTTCTTTGGAGCTCGAGTGGAGGACGGGTCTGGCTTCAGCCACTTGAGTCCGAGTACGCAACTCTGTGCGAAACGCTGTACCTGGATATAACACTTTTAGCAGCAGAAAGGCCACTGTAAATCATAGACAGTATAAACTTGTCCATATGATTGGAATGATATAATGGATATTGCAGTCCCTAACCACTAGCTAATGTTCTTTATGACACTTAAATAAATGGCCTGAAAATAAACGAATAGCAATACGAAGTCCTCTAAAGCGGCTCACGTGCGTCTCCCCGAAGTACGCTGGAGAAAGACAATGTCTACTTAGCACATTTTTTGTGTTTACATTTTCTACACAACACTCCTGCTCCAGCTATTCCRTTTTTCCTCTTCCAGGCTCTCATTAGTTTTTCTTTTCTGCCTTTTCCTAAACAGAATCTTCTCTACGTCCAGGACCTGCCCAGAACTTGCTCATTTTGAAACATCACAAGCACGCTGGACTTCTATATGGACATTCAGAAAGGAGTTGCAAAGATGACCATAGCCTGAAATCATATGAGAATCCAAACAAAGCCTGCAAATAAAGAAACAGCTCTGCTTTACCAAGAGACTAAATAAAACACAGGTTTGGCAAACTGACCAAAATCACTAAGGTTGCAGAAGAGCCAGAATGAGCCTCCAAAATCCAAGATGACATGCCTAAAACGTTCTTTCTGAGCTTCAGGTTTGCGTATAGAAAAGAAAATTTCCCCAACGGTGTCAATGAAGGGTTGTGTCCTCAGCCTCCGCTCTCCATGCCCCAATCTCGCCCACGTTCGCACATGGAAGCCAGGGAACTTCCTTCTCCTCTGCCAACTAATTACTTCTGGGCTTGTTCGCACAGAGGGTGTCATCAACGTCAGCGACGCGAAACCTTTGGAGACGGGATCTTCTCCCATAAAGACCATCAGAGCTCCTGAAATCCCGGTCTAATTTCAGGAGATGCAGCCGCAGAGAGCAAAGCCGGGGAGGGAGCTGCTGCGTGGCGAAGGCGTACGGGAAAGCCCAGGGAGCTCCAGGAGCAAACGCGTTGGATTCAGTCATTGAGAAAGATGCACCCATTCTTCTCACCCGTGGTTATACAATGCACCCTAATCAAGCGTGAGAAACGCCCCACTACTCTATTTTTAATATGGGTGTTTTTATTTTTATGGACTTGATGCTGCGAAATTTTGCACATTCGAGGCTCTCCACAAGAAAAATATCACCAAAGCCTACAAAGATTGGCACTTTCAAGAGATACAACAAGGTCTTTTCCTTTATATTTTAAAAGCATGTAAAATCTTTGACTTGTATAAATAACTCACTTTTATATATTTAAAAACGACAGTTCAAAACAAACAATGAAATGCTTAAATTTCTAATTTTAATACCTTGGCTTGTTCAGGGAAACTAAAAATATTTTTCTTCTTTTATTTACTCTGATTTTTGAGGCTCTCTGACATTCAACAGATGATTTCAGAACTTTATGAAGACCCTGAAAACAGCAAGCCTTGAAAGCTTCTCACTTGCTGCATCCCATTTATAGATGTTTAGCCAAAAAAAAAAAAAAAATAGAACAAAAGCTTAAAAATTAGCTAAGTTTATACACAACGAAAATTCCACCTACTAAAAAGTGGTTTGCATTTCAATCTGAATATTTACCATTTTGACTGGCAGATCTTTTACTCTCCCCAGTCTACCCAGAATGTTATTTCTTTGCATTTATGTCACAAAATTTCCACTTACAGGAAATTTGTGGTTGTCCTTAAGAGAGACGTGTGTTTCCCGTAGCTCTTTCACAACACACTGTCCTGCTGCCTTGGGTGGGCTTATTTACAACACTTCATTTGCACTAATGAAAATTTACTTACGTGAAAGCAAGTACTTGGTTACTTACTCGGTTTCTTCTCATGACACCAAGAGCYACTTTGGGTGCTATTTTTTTWAAAAACAACAAAAATAAGAATAGAAGGAGGGTGATGTCAGGGTAGAGCAACAGAAACCAAATGAGAAGGCCTAACTAAAGCATATAGGTTTAGGTTAGATCAAATTGTGAGGAAAAGTTTTGAATCTTGTATGCTGAATAATTTTTAAAATAGAAGATGAAAAATAGAAATTTTTAAAATAGAAGATGATAGAAGATGAAAAAGTGCTTTAATTCTGCACCTTTACTTAGCAGACTTAAAGGCGAGTGTGGAAGTAGAGTGGATAAAATTATATTGCCATTAAAAAAGAAWGAAAAAAAAGAAGTAATGTTAAAGAAATAATAAAAGAACATAAGATAAACAGTTCTCCAAAGGCCAAATAGAGGAGGGTCACTTGCAATTTCAGACAGTTATGATTAGAAATATATTCGCAACCGTTGGGCTGGTGGATGTTGCAATAGACTGTAATTTTGCAGTGCCAATCGCTGCAACACCAGGAAACTTCTGCTTTTGTCCCTGCTTAATTKCTGCCAG